TCCCCACCACCACCACCTCCGCCAATGTTTTTCAAATCAGCAAAACTACTGTTCAGCCCAGACCTGCCCCTGGGGGAAGAGCTGAAGAACAATGACTCCTCAACGGCCAGGGAAGGTAAGAGGCCTAGTCAAACCCTGGGGCTGTCACTTCAGATGTGAAGAAACTGAGGCTTTGATGGAAATTTTTCTGAGCTCACCTGGGCAGGAGTAGGACTAGAACCCACCTCTTCTGGCTCTTAGGACTGAAAATAAATTGTGCCCCATGGCTCACCAATTGCTTTCTCTGTCCAGACCCTGGTCTAAGAAGAATGGAGAGGAAAACAGGCTAGAGGGGAGGGGTAGCCCTGAGAGCAGAGGTCCCAGGGCCCAGCTGCCTGACCCTGGACCAGCATTCCCTTCCTGAGGTCACTAGGTCAGGGCCCTTACTCAGGAACGGATTACCCAATAAGCAAGATGTCTTGGGCTGGGTTCTCTAGAGAAGCCAAAGGAGTGAAGCATCGAGAGAGAGAGAGAGAGAGAGAGATCAAGGAAATGGCTCACACGGTTGTAGAGGCTGGAAAGTCCCAAATCTGTGGGTCAAGCTGGAAGCTTCTCCTGACTCATGGAGCTGAAGGGGCTGGTGAACCCAAGATCCAGACCTCAGAGGCTAACAAATCCCAAGATAGGCAGGTAAGCTGCTAGCTCAAGTCACAAGAACTGGACATCAGAAGAACAGGAGCCAGCTGCAGGATCCAGAGCAAGCAAAAGCCCATGAGCCTTGCCAGAAAGTCCACCTATATTGGATTCAGGCCACACCCCCAAGGAAACCCCCTTTCAACTGACTGGCTACTCACAGCAGATCCCATCATGGAGGTGATCACATTATATCAGATCTCATCACAGAGGTGATTACATCATTATGCAACTGCCAAACTACATCATAACGGCCAAACCACCGAGAATCATGGCACAGCCAAGTAGATACACGACCTTAACAATCACAAAGGGTAAGCAGGTGCTTAGGGCATCAACAAAACAGGGGCTCCAGTTGTCCAAAGCAAAGACCTATAGATGTCAAGCAGACAGGACAAAACGAAAAGCGAGCACTGTGGTGGAAGGGAACCGATGAATCGGTGAATGAAACCGATACAGTTTTATTAAGTTTGTATACAATAACAATTATATTTTCCTTTTCCTTTGGGACAGATCGGGTTATAACCTCACATTTAGTTCTCTGGTAGACCACATGAGAATGCACCCGCAGCACTATAATCACGTGACTCATGTCGTATATGGTCCTGCACAAAGCGAACCAAAACGTGTCTTCCGATTGAGCCTACCCTTCTATTTGTATCATGCTCTTTGCGATCGATCTTGCCCCCATCGGGCATCAGCAGTAGTCCATGAACTGTGAAGACACAGCATCAAAGGACAGAAAGTGAGTGTGCAAGTTTTTAAGTGTTATTTCAAGACGAAATACACTCGTGGAGATCTGCGAAGGGCCCGTCAGCAAACATCGTACGACAAACGAATGAAATTATTCCCACTGCCTTCTAAGTACTATTTCTTTTGACTATCTCAGACCTAAAGAACAAAATCACATGTTCCAAATCCATTTTTTTAACTTGCTAATTTTCAAATATAAATTTTTGTGTTAACATCCAAATTCGAATGTACATTTTATTGGATAAATTTTACTTGTTTCAATCATTCAAATTTATTTGCTATGGTAGAACCAAATTTAAAAAGTGACATAATTTTATATCCAGGTAGAATGAAATGGCAACAACTAAGTGGAGCGCAAAAACGAAAGCTCGCAGAAGACAATAAGAAAAGGATTTGTGAATCCCTAAAGACAATTCCAAAATTAACTTCCTTTTTAAAACAATGAATCAGAAGAGACTCTTCCATCGAACGCTCGAGCTTAATGGGTGGCAAAATGGTTGTACTAGTACCACTAGTGCCGAAATTACTAATAGCAATATGACTATAACAGACTTTGTTCCAAATTCTGCATCCTTTCCTCACTGTAGAAAAAAAATTAATAATGGCATAGAAAGTGAAACTATTTTACAATCTGAAGGCGTCACATATGCAGACCATAAAAGACAGAAATACAGATCCTGCTTTGTGGAATTATTTTTCTTCCAGTGAAGTTCGTATTGGATCGGAAGAGGGCCAAATGATTGTCAACATCACAGTGGGTCATTTGAAAATTCATGTTGAAAATTTCTGGATGGTAAACAAATAAGATTCTGTAGCCAGAATTTATTTCTAGGGTGCAAAGTTAATGTTGAAAATTATAAAAGTGAGTAGCTACTGTATTCTCCATCAGTTGGTGCTGTATATTGTCTCGTTTGCAAGCTATTCAGTCTTAAATCATTTAGTTCTCAGTTTGCCTCCGATAGATTCAGTGATTGGCACAATTGACTATAATTGATAAATATGAAAACAGTTCAATTTGCAGAGATTGTATGTTGTCATATTTAAACTGAAGACATGGTTTTGGCTTAACTCATGAACTGGAAACACAAATTTATGAAGAATGTCAGTACTGGAAAGCCGTTTTGCAATGCGTTGTTGCTGTCATTGTAACAATCATTGAACGTGGACTATCTTTTCGAGGAAGAAATGAAGTGTTTGGGTCCCCAGAAAATGGACATTTTTTTGGTTTACTTGAACTTGTTGCTCAGTTTGATCCATTTTTAGCAGGTCACATCTCGAAATACGGTAACGTGGGAAAGGGCACCGTCTATGTCTACAACAACGTGGGAAGAATTCCTAAACTTCATAAATGATAAAGTTCAATCAACTATTTTCAGTAAAATAAGTATAGCTCGATATTTCAGTTTGTCTGTAGATTACAGACCCAATCTTTCTTATACAGATTAGCTAAGTATTGTTTTAAGATACGTATCTCTACCAGATGGAAAACCTGTTGAGAGATTTATCACATTTACTAGCTTAAAAAGTCATACCAATGAAGAAATTGCAGATCAAGTACTTCACTATTTATATGAAGTTTGCAAAACTGATTTTTCTAAGTGCAGAGGCCAGTCCTGTGACAATGCTGCCAATATGTCAGGGCGTTATAAAGGCGTGCAACAGAAAATTTTAGAAGGTAATGAATATGCTGTTTTCATACCATGTGCTGCACATTCGATTAATCTTGTAGCCGTAGCGCAGTAGATTTTTGTCTGGAAGCAGCTGATTTTTTTTTCTACAGTTCAGTTACTCTACGCATTTTTTGCCACTTCTACTCACCAATGGGCAGTTCTTAGAACATATTTAGGCAACGTTCAAGTACTAAAATGTCTTTCTAATATACATTGGGAAGCGCATGCTGTAGTAACGAGTGCAATCCTGGAATAATACACTCAGATTCTAGATGCCTTAGAAAATATAGCTGAAGACTAGACACCAAAAGAGAAGGTGAAAACATCACCAAGAAAATGCAAACACTAGAGTAGTATTTATGTTAGTTATGCAGAATACTCTATTGCATCATTTTCATCGGACAAGTCAAGCTCTCCAAGACCCAGAAGTAAATTTAAAGTCACGGACAGATCTCTACCAGTCATTAACAGGGTATTAACATAATTTAAGGGATTTTGACAAATTTGAAAACACAACAAAACAAATACTGCCAAATACCGATCATCAAGCATTTCACCATCGCAGAAGCACTGAAAAGAAACAAGTAAATGATGGAAGTGCTCCAGAAGCATCACTGAGTGCCAGAGATCCATTTCGTGTAACCACATATTACACCATCATTGACACACTTGAATCTTCCATGAAAAGTAGGGCAAAAGTGTACGAAGTTCTTTCAGATAGATTTTCCTTTTTAAACAATGTGGCTATAGCTGATGAAGAATGTATGAAGGCATGCAAGAAATTAGTACAGGCTTAACCCGATGACTTAAATACAAACCTTTATGGAGAAGTGTGGCAATTTTATTCTCACATTAAGTTGACAGATTCAGTAAAGACAAATTTGACTCGTGTAGGCATGTATGATTCCATAATAGAAGATAAAATACAATGCGTATTTCTAGATGTTGAGATTGCTTTACGCATATTCCTAATTTTAATGATCACAAACTGCACAGCAGGACTTTCACTTTTGTCCCTAAAGAGACTCAAAAACCCTCAGCGTATGATTCAAGAAAGACTTGATTCATTGTCTTTATTATGTTGTAAGTAGATATTGTTCGGCAGCTTTATTGTGATGAAATCATTGAAGAATTTGTAAGAGCAAAGAACAGAAAGAAAAGTGTTTAATTATAACATGTTAGAGATGAAAGATCTATCTAAAAATAAAATATAGTAATTTGTTATAAGACTTGTTTTCTGATCATTAAATTTTCTTTTATGGCATCTTTTCATTTGTTCATTTATAATTATAGCATTTATTATGAAACAAGCATCAAAATTGAAATATGAGCTGTTTAAAACAAAATTGGTGAAAGTCCATTTTTCGTTGTGGGAGAGCAACAGAATTTTACATTGATTGTTGAAACAGCTAAGTTCACTTATTCATTTTCTTTGTTGTAGAATATATGGAATATTCTTTTTGTAGAAAATGTAGTATATAGTAAAAATCTTAGTACTAAATTTTTATAATCCACTAAAAATATTATAATCCAGTTCGTCTCATTCTGCTAAAATGACATGCCACTTTTGCGTTCAATCGCTAATATGATAGTCAAGTTTAAAAAGAAGTTACATCATGGATAGCTAAGACACACACACACACACACACCTATATATACACATATGTGTATATAACTCACATATCCCTTTCAAATGCGTGAGTAAACAGAGGAGGGGGCACCGCAGAGCATCAGTGTTTAGGGCCCTCCCATGCCTTAAATCCAGCCCCGCCCTTACTCACCGGAAGCCAACATGTCCTGCATGCCTCCGGGGATTCCGTTTTATGATGGCGGAAACTGCTGATTCAGCTGCTTCTAACTTCCTATAGCCTTCTAAAATATGCTGAAGCTATGTATATCAAGGGGGCATTGGTAATTCAATGGTAGAATGCCCCCCTTTCATGGGGGAGACCTGAGTTCGAGTCCCAGACAATGCACCTCATGTGCAGCCACCACCCGTCTGGCAGTGGAGGCTTGTGTGTTGCTATGGTGCTGAACAGGTTTCAGCAGAGCTTCCAGACTAAGGTGGACTAGGAAGAAAGGCCTGGAGATCTGCTTCTGAAAACCAGCCAGTGAAAACCCGATGGATCACAATAGTCCAATCTGCAACCAGTCCTGGGGATGATACAGGACCAACAACAACAACACAGACATCAAAGAGAGAGAGAGATTCAGAGAAAGAAACAGAGGAGCAGAAATGAAAGGGACAAGAATACGTCTATGAAGAAGCCCCTATGGTGGGCTCTCCAGTCCAAGATGACGCGCTCCGAGGGCCACAATCCAGAAACGTTCCGGTTTGTCTTTTCTTGTTCAGTGGTTGTTCCTTCACCAGAATGCAAGCTCCGTGAGGCAGAGACTTTATCTGCAGTCTTGCCTGATCCCAGGACCAGTCCCAGGCACTGGGGAACATGGTGCAGGCTTTGTGCATAGAAAGTTCAATAAATATTTGTTGAGTGGATTAGTGGCAACGGGAAGGCATTTAAACGTTTTAAACCCAGAGGAGATAAGATCATATTTGCCTTTCAGAAAGATCAATAGACACGTACAAGCGATATTTGAGCTGAGTTTCAAAAGATGGCGAGGGAGGGACAGAAAACTAGGGACTGTGGCGAACGTTCCACGCCAAGGAAGAGAATGAAGGTCTAATGGCGAGAAGAAGCAAGGTGTTGTTTAACTACATTCATTCATTCATTCACTCACTCACTCAGCCAGTGCTCACTGGGCACCGGCCGTACGCAGAGAGAGGGGACAGAGAGCAAGTGGGACCCCAAGCGGGTGGCCTGTAAGTGGTCCAGGTGGATTAACGAAGCCATGGAGGATCCTGGCACCAGCAGAGGATTTGCAATGTGAGCAAGGCCATCCTCTAGGAGAATGGGTCTGGCACCCAAATGACAGAAGGAGAGCCGTGGGGAAAGCCAGGGATAAGCGATAACCCCAGACCCCTCACCTGGGTAATCCTCATTTGGCCCTGCAAACCCTTACCAGCCTGAAGCTCACAAAGCCCCAGACCATCAGCACATAAGAGGTCTCTGGTCTACTGTCCTTACTTTCAAATGAGGTAAGTGAGTCCAGAGAAGGCAAGGGACTTGTCCAGGTTCACACAGCAAGCTAGCCTCTTACATCTTTGGTTTAAAAGTCAACAGTCGCTTCTTCCAGGCTTCACTCAGGCTCACTTCCTCAGCAAGAAAGGACCTGGGGCTGCACCTTAGCCCTGGTTTCATCATGGAAGAAGCAGGTGGTCTTGGTGCCCACCACTTGGCGGCTTTCTCTGCAGAGGCGCCAGGTTTTCCTTGAGCCCCTCTGTCTCCTGGGGTATCCCACCAGGAAAACCAGATCCTCAGGGATACAACCTGGGGCTCAGAAGCCGCCATACACATCATCCAGTCTACCACCTCCCCGATGCTCAAGTCCCCTCCCAAATGTCCCCACCATGTGGTCATCGTGCGCTTGGTTAAGGCTCTGCCCGAGGTCCTTGACAGCAAGAGCCTGTCTCGTTCATCTTTATGTCCCCAGCGATGGCATGGAATTGATGGTGAATGAATGAATGAACAACAAAGAGGATACAAGTGAGAGAATGAGTGAGTACATTAGTCAAATGCTTTCAGTATTAACGCACTCACTCCATGCCTCAGTTTTCTCTTCTGTAAAGTTTGGATAATAATACGACCTACCTCACAGAGTTTTTTTATGAGGTTTACATGAATAAATTCTATTTACTTCCAAATATTCAGCCCCTGGAACCCTATGCAGCACAGTTCTTCTCTGACACACATGGGGCTGCCACGAGTTGGAATCAACTCGATGGCAACTGGCGTGGTGAAATTAATAAATACTTGAAAATCGCTTGGAATACTGCCAGCCACCAAGTCAAGTGCTATGTGGTTGTTAAATAAAATGACATACAATTGGAGGTATAAACAAAGAGCTTCAGGAAGGAAAGGGGACATAGACAGTGATTCCAGAAGGCTTCCCTTGAAATTGGTAGCCTGGATGGAGCCAGTGCAAATGAGGGAACATCAACTGGTACTGTCATCCCAGATCAGCTGTCAACAATTGCAGTTTTCACCCTCTCCTGACCTTGGTGCCAAAACTGTGTGTGTATGGGGGTAGAGGAGTTGATGTGAGCCCTGGGCCCTGTTCTTCCTGCCCCTCCTTGCACACATACCTGCATGTGTGCGTACACACACACACACACTTCATCGGTCACTCCTCAAGGAGGAATGAGCCAAAAGTAGAAACATAACAGGGCCCAGTAATCCCAAACAGGTCAGACAGGCTAGCAATCACGGAGGGCTGATCAGAGCGTTGTCAGGGAGGTATGTTTGAACCCAAGGTCAGATTCAAGACTAACTAGACAAAGCTATGGTGCCAGACTCCTTCCTGCAGAGGGTCTCCATCCTGCCCCCCACCCAGAGAGCCACGTTCTCTTCTGGACTCTCCTCACCCCCCAACTCACTCCTAAAGACTCCTCCACTCATTCACTCATTCCTCAACTGTCTGGTGAGCCCCTCAATCTCGTTAATCCTCAGGGAATGCTCCTTTTGGGGGCTGGTTTGGGATGCACACACTTGTTCTTCCAATTTAAAGACATTCTTAGTCAAAAGAGAATAATCACTGAGAGGTCAATGTCTTAAATGCTGGCTGCTATTTTTTATTCTCTTTATGATTTGAAAAGGCCCACTTAAAAGGTAACCAAGATTACTAGCACATTCAAGTATAGTTCACCTGGAGTCCCGGCACCTTGTCTGGCCCCTGAGGAAACCCAAGCACACAGCAGGGAAGAAGATAAATACTCAACATGGGGAGACACGTGTTGCAGCCTTTGCAAAAATTTGGAAACACCTCTAATTAAGCCCAAACCCTAATTAGTCTGCTGAAATGCATCTTGGCTTAGTTCCATACCCCAAGTCTGAGGCAAATTGCCCCTCTTTTGGTGGGAGGGACCAGAAGGAGAGGTACTTTTAAGGTGAGAGTCTTCCAGATATGAAGCAATAGTGGGGAAAAAATCATAGCTTGAATAACATGTCAAAAATAATGATCTTGTTATTTAAGGTGGAGAATCCTATAGAAGCACTGGTGACATTCCCATTCACGCCACGAGGGTTCGTCATGATGGATGGCTCCAATAAACACCCAGGGAATCAGAAGTGATTGATTAGGCCATCACTTTAAAGCGTGGCCAAAAACCACTTCAGAGCGTGCTCGCACCTCCACAAGTGAAAAATGCACGTTCAAATAATGTCAACCGGATTAAATTATCACCCTTCTGAGTATGTGCAAATCAGTCGGCTGATACCCAGTCAAGGTGTGAAGTTGAGGATTTGGGGAACGTGTTATATACGCAAGTTGGTGCATACACTTCTCTGTGTTGTCACCCTCCATGTTGGCACATAGTTCAAGCTGGGGTGCATAAGGTTGAGGTGACAGAATTTCCCTGAGTTCGGCTAGATCTACTTCCCTTTGCACATGCAGCCTGAAGCCAGCTGTGGCCAGTTGTCCTGCATGCCACCCACATGCCACTGGTTCGAAGGAGGACCTTGGAAGGTGGTGTGGTGCCTCAGAAGGGCTCCTGGCTCTCTCCTTCCCCTCACAGCCAAGCTTCATGAAATTGCTTCTACATTTCCTCGACCTTCATTCACTCTTCAGCCACTGCTCACTCCCCACGCCACTAGAAACAAAGATGGTCACCGATGACTCACCCCACGGGCACTGTGCACCCCTCAGGGCATCGGCCTGAATCCCCACTCTCCCCTCTACTTTCTACTCTGCCATCTTGACTCCCATGACAGCACGCTCTCCCACTTCTCAAACTCAGCTGCTGGGTTTCAGTCTCCTTGTTCTTCCCCTGCTGGTGAAGTCTTGGTTCTCCTGCGACTCTGACTTGGACCATCCTCTCACTCTAACCCACAAACTCAAGCATTACCTCTACGCCAATAAGTCTGTGCTGACCAGCTGGGGATGACCTTCAGTGGGAGCCTACCGGGAGCTCTAGATCATGTATTGCTCCCCAGATTTATTCCCCTCCACACACATTTTCAGTCACAGACACCACCACTCAACAACCCCAGTGCATAACTCATTCCTCCTAGAATCAGTGCTTCTTCCAATGCACCTCCCGACCCCCACCGTGAACGGTACCACCATGGTTTCAGGGTCCGCATGGATATATCTGGGGGTCATTAGTGCCTCCACCTCTGTTGTCAACCACCCCTATCCAGCCAGATGTGAGCCCACACCCTGTAATTTTACCTTCTACATCTCTCACCAACAGATTTTCTCCTCTTGACCCTCCTCCATCAATGCCTTAGGTCTGGCCCTCCTCGTTTATGATGGGACTATCGAAATTTCCTCCTCAACGGTTTTCTTGTCTCCTCTTTCTCTCTGCTCTCTAATCCAGCTCCCTACCACTGCTAGATAAATTTTTCCAAAATGCAAATAGAATCACGCACTATTCTATCTCATCCTAGTGGTGTCCCATTGCCCGTGAGGTACAAACTCGTGCTCCTTTGCCGGATTTACAGGTTTCAGGCTCTGCCCTGGCCTGATTTTCCAGTCCTAGCTCTCCACACCCAGAGGCCTAACTAGCGGAGGTTGGAGAGGCAGTGCCTAATTGAGATGGGGAGCCAATTAGCAGTTTCTATTGGCCATTACCTGGTGGCGCAGTGGTTAAGAGCTAAGGCTGCTGACCGAAAGGTTGCAGTTCCAATCCACCAGATGCTCCTTGGAAACTCTGTGGGGCAGTTCTACTCTGTCCTACGGGGTCGCTATGAGTCTGAATTGACTCGACAGCAATGGGTTTGTTTTGGTTTTTCCGTGGCCATCACAGTTTCCATCACCAGCTGTGAGCGATCATTCAGCAATTTAACACTAATTGCCCTAGGCACTGTTTTCCGTAGTTAGGCCCCTGTCCACACCCTCCTCCAGGCACTTGTGTGCC